CCCCAAAACCCCAAAACCCCAAAACCCCAAAACCCCAAAACCCCAACGGACATCTAAGATATTGAATTAATCCTTATTGAGATAATTGACATCGTATGAATAGAAAGGCCCCATGAACCAATCATTCTTTAAGAAATGCCTACTCTTCTTTGGATCATCACCTGCATATCTTGGGACATTGGGAATCTCGTCAAAGGCATCTATCGCATTACTTATCATGAGTAATCTATCGACTCTTTTTTGTCTGCCTTCTCTTGTATGTGGGGTATATTTGTAGCTTTGGTTGATAAATTCCTTCCAGTCTTTGGTTCCTCTTGCAGCTAATAATTCGCTATTAATTTGCTTCCGTTTCTCTCTGATTTCTTCTTCAGTCTCTCCTGGCATTCCGAAGGGATGCGAGAAATCTTTGAGTACTTTCTCAGATTCACAAAGAGGAGGTCTGAGATGTTTCACTTGGAAGTTATATAAATCAGAGCTTCTATCAAATTGATCCTCTAAGTTTCTGCTTGAATATACTAAAGAGTAAAACTTGAAGAATACATGAGAAATTTTCATCGAAAAGAGGTTCATCTAGGAGTGGTTCTGTGGTTGTATTAAATACCATTTCTTCAAGTTCAAAAATTTCACCAACACTACGCCCATCATCTCTAAAAAGGTCAAAGTTTTCTTACTCTCCATTACTGAGGTCCTTCATATGTATTTGAGCTTTTCACTTATAAACAGAGGAAGGATCTAAGCCAGTGAATTCATATGCGTCAAATCTTTGGTTTTCCAAAACTTGGGTCCAGACAGGCTCTGTGGCATTAGCAAATAGCTCTTCTCTGTTCCTGACAACCTATAGCTTCATCTCATGAGTTATTAGAAGGCCTTACGTCTTGGGTCTTGCCGATGTAATATAAAAACACTTTGAAAAATCTGACATCTGACCTATCAACAAGGTCTGGCGGGTCAAGAATACAAGTCATTATCGCAGACTTATGAGTGATTGAATGCATTTTTGGAGGAAGAGTTAAAAATTTAAATATTCAAAGAAATTTAACCAAATAGGGGTTTTGGGGTTTTGGGGTTTTGGGG